GGGGGGGGGGTGCTGAGAGAGCTTACAGGCTGTAACAATGTAACGATTATAGCAAGAAAAAAAATGTGAGAAGAGTGAAGCCTTCAGTAGAAGAAGAGGAGGAAGAAAGAAAACAGAGTTCCTTATTGAGAGTTTATATGCCAAAAAGGCTGATCTGAGAATTTGATAGACGTTTTAGTACTGTAAGCCGGAGATTTGGTCCTGCTGTTAGGCAGGGCTTGGGTTTACAAACGGGGCTTCTGAATACCTAAACCTCGGCCGCTGCTGCGGAGATGGTCGGAGGGCGTCCTGGACTGCCCTACCGAATGCCAGAGAGGGTTCGGGAAGATGGGGACGTCTCCTTCAAATTCCTGACCCCCGGAATCCCCTCACAGGGAAAAGACAAGAGAGTAGGGACGTCTCCTCTACACTCAAGTCCTTGAGACGAGGCCGGGGCCCCGGGCCCACGGCGAGACGAGGAGTCCCTGACGGAGCAGGGAGTCTACGAGGCAGGCAGCGGGAGAGTTGTGGGTAACAGAAGTCTTACCTTGTGATGGAACAGTTCCCTGTTAACCTTGCGATGGAGCAGTTCCCTGTTAACCTTGCGATGGAGCAGTTCCCTGTTACCTTGCGATGGAGCAGTTCCCTGTTACCTTGCGATGGAGCAGTTCCCTGTTACCTTGCGATGGAGCAGTTCCCTGTTAACCTTGCGATGGAGCAGTTCTCTGTTACCTTGCGATGGAGCAGTTCCCTGGTCCAGCTTCGTGTGAAGGAGTCAGTTTCCCCCAGGAAGGGTCGTATAACTCCCTCCCGGGTTTCGGCACCACTTGTAAAGTTTATTCTCTGTAGGTTTATTGCCAAGTTAAAAACGAGGAAACTGAGGCCAGCACAAGAAAATTAGATGCCAACTTATTCAGCTCCTGGGTGAGGTTCTGTGGTCTTGGGGAGAGGGGCCAGGGAAGTCGTGCCTGACTTCTCTCAGGAGTGGGGTTTTATAGGGAGTGAAGATGTTCAATTGGATTTGGAGAAACAGGATGTGGATGGGGTGAGCTGCTATTGGTAGGTAGGGGGGATTTCCGGTGAGCGGGCTAAGTGCTGAGTGCAGAGGGGATTTCCAAGGGTGGGGTTAGGTGCCGAGTGCAGAGGGGATTTCCAAGGTGGAGCTAGATGATGGGCATATTCTGATAATTTTCCAGTGGGGAGGGAGATGGGCGTGTTCAAACTCCTGGCGAGGCAACCAGCCTTACAGAAAGAACACGGGAAACCAAGGTAGGATCTTTCTACTTTTCAAGGTGACCTGCGCATTTTCATAGAGACCTTTTCTTTTGGAGATGACTCTGGCCGAAGGAGTGGCTCTTGGGGCATGTATTTTAGGTGCCCTGGACTGGCTGACTGACTGGGGGGGGGGGCATCCTGAGGAGAAGATGGGTGGGTGGGTGGACAGGAGATGGAAGGAAAGGAAAAACAGCTGTTGGATACCAGGCATTCTGATTACCACCTGACTCCTAAGTAATTTTAGGATCCTTTTCCCAATATTTTCTTAACATAGCTTGGGAGACAGGTAGCAGTCAGAAAGTCTGGTGCCCTAGAGCCACTCTTTCTCCTTCTAGCCACCCACCTGCCCATTCTTCTTTCCATCCATTTTTCAATCTACCTACCAACCCATCATCCATCCTTCCACCCTCCCATGCATCAACCCAACACATATTTATTGAGCGCCAGCAATGTCATCAGCCCAATCTTTGCATGGTGATATTTCCACATAGCCCAAGAGATACAGACCCAGTGTAGTGAAGCTTTTTGTTTTTCCTTTTGTGAACTTCACGATAGCCAAGGCCGTAAACAGTAGCTTTGAGACACATGAGGTTTTTGAGCAGTGAGCTAGGGATCAGAAATCTAAGATTGAGATGGGCCACATGAAATCATTTCAATGCTAACAATAAAGAGGGTTCATTTAGGGCAGCAGTGATTCAAACGCAAGTTAAGTACCTGGAAGGTTTCAGTCACATCGATTTTCCTTTAGCATTCATCCTTCCAGATGCCCTAGTTTCATAAAATAATGTGAGTGGAATTGAACCTGAACAGCCCAAAACAGAGTAATTAATTATGTCTTGATTCAATTGCAGCTACTAATTAACAGAACTAATGCCTGAGGCAGTCATTCGCACGATGGCAGCAGGCGGTTGGTGCCCCCTGGCCTCCTGATTTAAGGCTTGCCAGAATCTGGACAAACTGTCTTTACCTCCCCTACCTAGAGATCTCAGCCAGGCCACATCTTGTGGTCAGATGGGTTGCACAGACCACAGGCCACATGAGGGAACTCCACAATGATAGGTACCACCTACCACCTTGGCTATCTCTGCCTAGGGGGCCTATTTTACCATTCAGTTCTATAAAAACCACTTTCTAGCTCAGTGATTCACAGCCCTCTTAAGAAAATTCAGTGCCAGGCGCAGTGGTGCACACCTGTAATCCCAGCACTTCGGGAGGCCGAGGCAGGCAGATCACTTGAAGTTAGGAGTTCTAGACCAGCCTGGCCAACATGGTGAAATCCCATCTCTATTAAACACACAAAATTAGCTGGGTGTGGTAGCAGGCACCTATAGTCCCAGCTGAGGCAGGAGAATCACTTGAACCCGGGAGGCAGAGGTTGAGCCAAGATTGCACCATTGCACTCCAACCTGGACGACAAGAGTGAAACTCCATCTCAAAAAAAATAAAAATACAGTGCCAGGGCCCCATGCGTCAGAATACCCAGAGCTGGGGCTCAGGCCTGTGTGACGGGTATGCACAGCAGGGTGAGAACCACTGGGCTTAGCCCATGGCTTAGGAGGGCAGCTATACAGGACCTTCCCTGAAACTATCTGCTGTCTAGAAGGTGCTGGCCAAAACAGTGTACTCGGGAGGCAAGCATCTGTTCTCCCTCCAGCTCCAGTGTCAGCACTGTTATCCAGGCCAGCGGCTTTGCTCCTGAATTGCAAGGGGAGGTGGGTGCCACCTCAGCAAACTCCTAACACCTCTGGGCTGAGTGTCCCCTCTCCCCCACCTGCCCAACCAGGCCTCTCTCTCGTGGTGGGCCTGGTGCTCTACATCTCCAGCATCAATGACGAGATGCTCAACAGGACCAAGGATGCAGAGACCTACTTCAACTACAAGTACGGGTGGTCGTTTGCCTTCGCCGCCATCTCCTTCCTTTTAACGGAGGTAAATCCTGTCACCCTGAGCAGGGACAGGCTGGGGCTAGGCACTGCCCCCCCCCGAGCAGGGGAGAGGGGACATTCCACAAGCATTTTGGGGCTTGGACCACCCACCCTACTTCCCTTCTTCATCCCAGAATGTGTCACTGTCTTCCCTTCCTGGGTCTCCTCCAGCCAGGACGGGCCCAAGGCCCTGCGCCTGTCCCCACATCCACTTCACACCCCACTCAAGCCGTGTCCTATGCAGACCCCGGCAGTGAGCCGTCCTCCGCTGTCTTCCCCCTCTAGAGCGCCGGGGTGATGTCTGTCTACCTGTTTATGAAGCGGTACACCGCCGAGGACATGTACAGGCCCCACCCCGGCTTCTACCGCCCTCGGCTGAGCAACTGCTCCGATTACTCGGGCCAGTTCCTACACCCAGACGCCTGGGTCAGGGGCCGCAGCCCCTCTGAGATCTCCAGCGAGGCCTCCCTGCAGATGAACAGCAACTACCCTGCCTTGCTCAAGTGCCCCGACTATGACCAGATGTCCTCTTCGCCCTGCTGAGCCTTGGCCAACCCCATCCCTGGACTGTGGGTGGCCAGGCAACCCTGCCTGTTCTCTCCAGGTGACCCCTGAGCCCCAGGCCTGTGGTTGACAGGCCCAGGCCACCCATGCTTAGCTGTTGTCACTTGACCCTCTCCTCTCCCCACTTCTCCAGAAGGGCTCTAACTGCCCCCAGTGTGGGTGTGGGAGTCTGGGGTTTGCAGGCAAGCTGATTGGCTGGGAACATGGAAGAAGCCCCACCCATGTGAGTGCCAATCACAGCCGTGGCTCCAGGAAGCTAGCCGCTCCCTGCAAGCCCAGGAGAGGCTGATGTTCCCTTTGTGTATTCTTCCTGCACCCCTAACTTCATAGCCCTAGCCCAGGGCCAGCTCTGAGACGCCAAGTTCCTTACACAGATGCAGCTGGACTCATGCACTTGCCAACTGGCCTGGCCTTCACATTCAAGATCTACACCATCTGCCCGAAAGGTGACTCTGATATGGAGGTCTGGCTGACTTAGACACATCAAGCTGGCAGTGTTCCTTCTGACCTCCTTTCTCCTCCGAGTCCCTCCACACGACACACCTGTCGTACTCTCCGTCTCCCCTCCCTGACACAGGCCGTGAACCTTTCCTCCCACCAGAACTCAGCTGCCCTGGGTCCTGGCCCTGAGGGACTAAGAGTAGGTCTGGGGCCACACTGATGAAGTCACAAAGAGGTGTTAATGGCTGAAGACATCCTAATATGTATGGCCCTCTGATAACATTTTACAGGAGCCTTTTATGCCTTAACCCAAATAATTGGTTCTGACAATGAGAATTTTAGAATTGGGCTGGTCTGAGTTCCTATCACCAGACAGTTTCTGGCCCTGGGGAGACTGTCCCCTTACAAGGGCAATATGTCTGGACCAAAGTCCTACAATGGAATCTTGTAGACAGCTGTCTAAACCACCTAAGAGGAAAGTAGGCCGGGCGCGGTGGCTCAAGCCTGTAATCCCAGCATTTTGGGAGGCCAAGGCGGGTGGATCACGAGGTCAAGAGATCGAGACCATCCTGGTCAACATGGTGAAACCCCGTCTCTACTAAAACTACAAAAAATTAGCTGGGCATGGTGGCGTGTGCCTGTAGTCCCAGCTACTCAGGAGGCTGAGGCAGGAGAATTGCTTGAACCCAGGAGGCGGAGGTTGCGGTGAGCCGAGATTGCGCCATTTCACTCCCGCCTGGGGAACAAGAGCGAAACCCCCTCCCCCAAAAAAAAAAAAAAAAAAAGAGGAAGGTAGCCTTTGAAGAGGCTGCCTGGGAGTTGGAGCTGGATTTGATGACAGCTAGTGCATTTTGTGTTCAAACAAATGCAGACTTGGGATAATCCAGCTGCTCTCCAAAGGCTGCCTGTGAACATTTGGGGGTTGCCAATTTAATCCTAATACGGAGGAGTGTCTGCTTCCTGGGTGTAGGACAGATGTGGGCAAATCAGATTTTTCCAGAAGACCAGGCAGTGTGACACCCATTCTCCTGGTGGGAAACCAGAGCTAGGGGGGTTTCAATCACCTTCTGTGAAGTCCACAGAAGCTACTGCAAGCCACGCCCACCCCCCTTGGCTCTCCAAGTGTTGGCTCAGCTTAGACATTTTGGCTTTGAGATTTTGAGTGGCAAAACAGTGCTATGTGTCGCTGCTGTGCCAGCTCTCCTCTTGCCCTCTTTAAGATGCCATTAGGTTCTGAGAACACAAAGCCGTGGCAGTGACACGTGGGCTCCAGCACGTAGCCCAGAATGCTGCACATTGGTGCGTGCAGGCTTGGAGGGGTGATGTGCTAGGCAGCCGGGCTGCTGTAATGAACTGTCACAGACTGGGGGGCTTAAATAGCACACATTAATTTTCTCACAGTTCTGGGGACCAGCGTCCAAGATCAAGGGGTTGGCAGAACTGGCTTCTTCTGAGGCCATTGTCCTTGGCTTGCAGACAGCTAACTTCTTGCTGTGTCCTCTCATGGTCTCTGTGCCCATGTCCCTGGTGTCCCTAAGTGTGCCCCAATTTTTTGTTTTTGTTTAGAGATGGAGTCTTGCTCTGTCGCCAGGCTGGAGTGCAGTGGCATGATCTCGGCTCACTGCAACCTCCGCTTCCAGGGTTCAAGTGATTCTCCTTTCTCAGCCTCCCTAGTAGCTGGTACTATAGGTGTGCCCAGCTAATTTTTATATTTTTAGTAGAGACGGGATTTCATCATGTTGGCCAGGATGGTCTCCATCTCCTGACCTCAGCCTCCCAAAGTGCTGGGATTACAGGCATGTGCCACCATGCCTGGCCCCAAATTCCCTGTTCTGATAAGGACACCAGTCAGATTGGATTCGGGCTCATCCCCAATTAATTGGTGGTTAATTTTCATGTAATAACCTCTTTAAAGGGCCCATCTCCAAATACAGCCATATTCTGAGGTTATGGGGGGGTCATTCCACAAATGAATTTAGGGAAGACAGGTATTTTGTTGCTGGATTCTTCCATTTGTCTGGCAGCATGGTAGAGGGGAAAGATAAGCCAATTCTGGTCCCAATTCAGCCACTCATTCACCATGAACCCTTGGGCCACACCCTTCTGCCCTGAGGGGCTTGGCCTAAATGGGTTCCAAGTCCACTCCACTCCCACCCACCCACAACTCCAATGATTCAGCCTCATGTGGGAGGCTCCCTGTTGCTTTTGTATGTGACTTTTCAACCCTGACCTATAAACTGACAGCTGCGAAGCCCCCTTCCTCTCCACTGGCACCCTTGCCATGACGGTTGTACTCTTCGGTTACTATTTACAGAATACTACCAAAACCACCTCCTTCCCCCAACAAAGTAAAGGAATCAGTTCTTGTGCTTGGAGAAAGTCAGATAGCATTTCCAAACTGGACAATCATTTAGGTGAGCTCTACTCCAATTTTTGTCAATGTACTTAGCTCCTAATTTCACTTTTGTCTCTCTGCAATACTCTTTCTCTGTCACTGCCAGGCTTGTTTTGTGTGCACCTGGAAAAAATAGAATCCACTCCTAAGTACAAGCTGACTGTGGACTCAGACATCGCTAGGTTTGGTCTTTACTGGGCTGATGCTGAGCTGCCGAATGAAGGAGACTTTACCCTGGGAACGTGGTTTACGCGCACCTTAGGAACAGGTTCTGGGCCGTTTTTTCCCCTCCCTGGGGTGGATGAATGTGTCAATAATCACACCACCATCACAATTTCCTTTCTGTCTATAAATTCATCTCAGAATCAGGGCCTAGTTGCAGCCTCTCCTCAATCAGGATTTTTACCAAACATGAACATGTACAAACTCAACTCAGAAATCATAAATTCGGGTCTGTTCTCCAATACGCATTCTGATCTTTTGTTTCCTCAAGCAGTGTGGGAAAAAAATGGGAGGGGTAGACTAGTAAACCCAAGTGTCATGAATTATGGAATAAAATGACTTGGGGTAACCAGCCATTAAGAGGGAGCAATCTGACTGGTTCCCCCACACCTGGAACTCACTACTCTTTTTTTTTTGAGACAAAGTCTTGCTCTGTCGCCCAGGCTGGAGTGCATGTAAGAGTTAAAGGAAGAGAAAAGAAACACAAAAATCAGCTCTTTTTGTGTTTTTTCTTCTAGTGATACTTTTTTTTTTTTTGAGGACAGATGTGGGCAGGTCCTCAGAGGAGATCAGCCTTTGCTCCATTAGCCAAGTAACTGCTTTACTCTGTCCACAATTTAAATGTTAGTGTTGTCCAAGACACACCTCCACAGGACAGTTAGAAAAATGTTTGGCCAAATATCTGGGCAGCACCGTGGCCCCGCCACACTGACACATAAAACTAACCATGGTAAGTGGAGAAAGGACAGCGGAGGCCAGGGGAGCCTCATTCCACCCAAGGCCTGAGCAGTTGGTGCCTGGACTCTGTTCCTTCCCCAGCTGCCTGGGTTTTGGGTACCAGGACCCGCTGTCAGCTCCCCACATCTTGACTTTCTCCCCACACGCAGGGAACCACTCTCATATGCTCGTGCAACACTTGGAAGTTAACCCGCCTTTGGAACACAGCACTCCGTGTAGGGAGTGGCTGCACAAGTGGATGGGTGAGTGGATTCTGCCAAATGCACCTGTGCCTGGGGCCTGGCTAGCCCTGTGAGTGTGGGTTCACCCATGGCAGCAGCAGCTGCTCCAGGTGCCATAGAAGAGACAGGGCTCAGTGGTCACCACCACGGGGGGTGGAGGGTGGTAAGCTGGAGCCAGCCAGAGCCCCCACCAGGACTGCCTTTGCTTTTTGGGTTCCAGGCATGCAGATGAGCTGATAGGAACCAGGCAGGTACCCCTCTGGCATTCACATCTCCCAGGACAGGTGCTGGGGCCTCATGTCCTTGGTACTGGCAGAGCTGAGGTCTCTGGAGTCTCACAGCCCTGAACCAGGCTCCTGGACTTCTGCTCTGTGACCTTGGACATATCATATCCTTCTGGGCCTGCCTCTGCTTTCTGGTGTGTGAAGCTGGAACTCCCTGTCTGCTCACTGTGGGGCTAAGATTTTTCTGCCGGGGTGGCCCTGCCCTTGAAGATTTGTATGCATGGGATCTCTGCCCTGCTGATTAAGAGGCCTGAGTTTTCAACAGGTGCTGCTGCACCCTCTGTGTGTTACCAGCAGCCCTCGGGACTTCTGTCTTCTCATTCCTACAATGGTGGGGTGTAGATGCAATCACCTCATCAGGCTCTGTCCCCAGACACTATCCCCAACTCTAGAGGTTGTAAGTTTTACAACCTAAATGCAACCAAATTCAAGCAGTAGATTCCTCCCAGCCCAGACAACACCCCAAAATGTGGAATTTAACTGTGTGCAGTGGCTCATGCCTGTAATCCCAGCACTTTGGAAGGCCAAGGAGGGCAGATCACAAGGTCAGGGGTTCGAGACCAGCCTGACCAACATGATGAAACCCGGTCTCTACTTAAAAATACAAAAATCAGCCAGGCGTGGTGGTGCACTCCTGTAATCCCAGCTACTTGGGAGGCTGAGGCAGGAGAATTGCTTGAACCTGGGAGGTGGAGGTTGTGGTGAGCCGAGAGCATGCCATTGCCCTCCAGCCTGAGTGACAGAGTGAGACTTCATCTTGAAAATATAAAATTAAAAAAAAAAGAATGCAGAATTTAGCTAAGAGATCAGAATCTTGGGGTGCCCCAAGGAAGACTAAGATTTCTGCATAATGGAGTGCACATGGCAGGCAGTAGCAGTGGGGAGACAGGAGAGAGGGAGGAAGGCAGAACTCTGCCACCTTTATCCTCGAGTTGGTAGCAAGATGGCCACAGTGATTCCAAGCATTCTATTGAGACCCAACAGCACCAGAGGGAAGAGAATGGTGGTCTTTTTCTCTGTGTTTTTCTGAGGAACGAAGATAACTTTCCCAGTAGCAACCCCAGCAGACTTCATGTCGTGTCTCAGCCAAAACCAAGTCACATGCCCATTCCTAAACCACCATCTGGCAAGGGGAACAGTGTGGCCATGTGTGCCAGTTGTCTATTAATACACAAGTAATTACCCCAAAACTTAGTAGCTTAAGACAGCAACAATCATATCATGATTATTTCTGACAGCTTTAGGGGCTGGCTGGGCTCAGCAAGGCGGTTCTCACTCGGGATCTCCCAGGCAGTTACAGTCAGACAGTGGCTGTCATTGCAAAGGCTTCCCTGCTCATTAGTCTGGCAACTGGTGTCCACTGGGACTTCAGCTAAGGTTGTCACTAGAATGCCTATGCATAGTCTCTTCTTAAGGCCTGGTCCTCCTCACGGGGTGACAGCTTTCTTTTAAGAATGAGAAGCTTCATTGCCTTTCTGGGAGCAGCCTTTGAAGTTACCTTATGTCATTTCCATCATAATCCCCAGGCCACACAGTTTTATAGGGAAGAGAACATAGATCCCCCTATCTCAGATGTGAGGAGTGTCAGAGGAACACATGAGAGATGGGATCTATGGTAGCAACCACCTTTGAAAAACAGTCTGCTGCACCATGATTGGCTTTGACCAGTTAGTTATTCTCTCAGCCTGGAGATTCTGACAGGTGGGCCCTGAGGATCTGTTTCTCTAACAAGCTTCCAAGCGATGTCAAGGTAGTGACATGCTCTAGGCTCTTGGGGTTTAGTTCCTGATCTCTGAATTTTGTTAAAGCTCTCCAGATGGTTCTAACATGAAACCAGGGTTGAGAACCACTGGCTTAGATCTACTGGGATTTATCACTGTAGCTGGGGGATAAAGCCACCTTCTGAGTCTGGCTGGGGAATAGTGGCATCCCAAACAAAATGCAGGAAAAGAAGGGAGAATGGTCCTGGGTGGGCCCTTGAGGAAGTGGAAGCCCCAAGTACCCACCTTGCTCTGTCCTAGCCTGCACAGGCCTCACCTCCTCCGACAACGCTATGCCTGGGGCAAGATGCCAAATCCATGGGCTCATGCCCAGCCTCTCTGCTCCTGAGCCCTTTCCCCAAGGAGCTGGTATTCACTGGTATGCAGGTAGAGCCTGCCCCGGGAAAGAGGATGGTAGAGGTCAGCATTCTGGAGCCAACACACTCTCCATCCCACTGTCAGGGCCAAGGATGGACTCTGGGCTGCAAGCAGGACTGATAAATCCTCAGAAATGATCTCATGGTCTCAAGCTCTATCAAGTTCAGGTCAATCTTCATCACTGGTCTTTGAATAATTCATTTTGTGCTCAGCAGTTGTAAAAAACAACAACAACAACAAGACTTGAGGGCGTTAGAGGTTTCTGATTAGGCAGTAAAGGAACCGTGTATCACAACATTCCCAACAGACTAACTTGGGTCAATTTTTACTTTAAATCCACCCACACTCATACACTTCCCACCCTATTTCAGATACAACAATCTATGTCAAAATCATGTAAACTGTAAAGTCCTCCTTGAATTAAGTTATTTTCATTAACAAAATGGTGAAGAGACTAAATTAAATAAACCACATAAGGTGAGCAGCAGCTAATTCAATCCACAGCAATTCTCGGTGTCCTAAATCTTCAAACCTGGAGAGCACCCTACAAGGTCAGTTCATAGGCTTCGGATTCACCCAAGAATGGATTCACCATCTTCAACCCAGACACAGCCTCTTGCAAACATCAATTTAGATACAACTTCAGCTTCAACCCTAGCAGGTCATCACCAACGTCATCACCACCAACATGCATCTAAAGTCCTTGTCAGAGTCCTTGGCACATAATAGGTATTTTGAAAGAATTATCTCACATAACCCTTTCAACCCTATACGTAGAGGAATACTGAGACCTAAAGAAGTTTAGGGACTCATTCGTGACCGCGCAGCTGGTAACGAATGAGTTACCAGCTCATTTGCACTGTTCTGCTCTGCAAGTCGTGTTTCAAGTGCACTCCCAAGAGCTTGGCACTTACGGTCCTAAATGTTCAGCACGGTAAATGTATCCTCTTCTATAATCACAGAAATAATCCAGGTTCCCATCCAAAGAGAAATGGGAGAAGGAAAAGTCTAAGTGCAAACAATGGTGATGCATTGTTTCCTGAAAGCCTCTACACATTAATCCTGACTCCTCCTCTCCCATCTCTACTCATGATGCCAACCAGTGTTGGAAATGGCTCCAGAAAACCTCTGGATTTTCCTGTGGTCAGCCAGTGGTGGAATCTCACCACACTCTTGTTCTCTAGCCACTGGAGAAAGACTCATGACACATGTTTGGTCATGGCACGTGTCTGGAGTATGTGATGAGGGGTCATCTGGTGCATCCTACCAACATGACCCCAAGGCAAGTGCTGGAGGAACTGGGCCTAGATCCTGGAGACAAGCTCATGTCAGATTCTGGCCTCCAGATTCCATTTTCCTGGCCAACTCCCAGGGCATCATGGAGCGAATGGCCAGTGGGTGTGCCATGGGAGGTGAGACCCCCCCCCAACATTCTGAAGCCCATCAGCTGGAGAGGAGGAAGAGAATTTCCATTTGTTCAAGCTGTTTCCTGAAGCACCCTAAGTGTGAGCTTGGGTGTTGATGGCTGTGTGGGGTGCAAAGAAAAAAAAAGTGTAGTGAGAATTTTACTTAGATGCAAAAAGTGTCACCTTGTTTTGCTAAATCAAACTAAATCTATCTGAGCCTCTGTTCACCTGGGTGGTGAGAAATTCACTGTTCCCCAGGGTTGCATAGAAATCCAATGGGGAGGAGAGGGCAGCAGCTGCCAGGATGGAAATCCAAAGTCCAGCATTGTAGGTGCCAGGGTTCATGACACCTGGTGTTCCATGTCCTTGGGAACACCATCCTGCCACCCCTCAGCCCTGCCAAGGACTCTGGTCTCTGCTGCTCTAGGAACCCATCAATTGCACCTCCTCACTCATTTCCTTCCCAGGTGCAGGGACTGTCCCCATGGGCTGACTGCTGTTCCTGACCTCCTCTAAGGACTCCTTCCAGTCTGCCAACCCCTTGGCAGGATACTGCATATCCTTCCTCAGTGGGTCCTTAGAAACTCTATGGTGGGCTTCCTTGCCTGGATTGGGGGGAAGAAAAAGAGGTAAAAAAAAAATTAAGTTTTCCCAATAATTTACCCTGTGATCCTATTAATAAATTAGTACTAATATATTATTTTGGTTATTGCTACTATTTCTTGAGCACCTACTATGTAACAGCTTCTGTCCTGGAGTGTTTATCCAGTGTGATTTCATTTTATTTGCTTTGAATCCCAGTGCAGAATCTGAGTTAGCTACTTTCCCCAGTTCATGATGCACAGCCATTATTGGTCAACGTAAGTCCTGGCTCTTGATTTTTTATTCATTTATTTATTTTTTCCCTTTCCCCTCTGCTGCATGAGCAACCATTCAGACGTGTTTAATATGTATCTTTCTTGTCTCTATGTGCTGCTTAAATGGATATTGTTTTCTGGCATGTATATTTTAATTTAAATAAAGGGTACTGCATTATACGTGCATCTCTCTTTCCCGCTTTTTCACCCAGCACTGCTTTTACAATGTTCTGCTTTTCTCCATGAACATACAGCTGCTTGCTTCTAACTGCTGCCAAGTACTCCACAGCCTTTACTTTTTGCCTACACCCCAGTGAAAATCCCAGTAATATCCACCAGGAAAGTGGGATTTGGAGGCCAGAGTCTGACATGACTCATGTTTAGGATCTGACCCTAATTCCTCCAGCACGTCTCTTAGGTAGGGTTGCTTCCAGCTCCCCCACAACATGCACCAAACAGCACTGCTGAAAATACTGCTGTCCGTCTCCCGTAACAGACCTGGCAACCATTTTGGGGGGCTATACCAAGGGGTAGATGTAATGCATCACAGACTATGTGTGCACTTAATGTAATCCAACACGCTCTCATTGTTCTTCAGCACAGATGCTCCAGTTCACCGTCCATGTCCCCCATCCCCACTAAAACAGCCCAGAATTCCTCAATCTCAACACTATTGACATTTTCAGCTAGAACGTTCTTTGTTGTGGGTGCCGATCTTTGCATGGCAGCAAGTTCAGCAGCATCTCTAGCCCCTATTCACAGGATACTGTATCCTCTGTTTGTGGCAGCCAAAATCTCCAAATGTCCCCTGAGCAGAAGACTGTCCCCAGTTGTGAGTCAGTTAGGCTTCCCTAGCTTTCTCCCTTTTGTCAGTCTGAAGGGTTTTATCCTATATTCCCGGCAATCCTAGAGCCATACTACCCTCAAAACACCTGATCTCAGAAGTGAAGCAGGGTCGGGCCTGGTTAGTACCTGGCTGGAAGAAGATGGGACAATCAACTCCCTGGTGCCCATCACTCAGCTTCCCTGAAGACTGACATGTCTGACCCCAGATTCTTTTTTTTTTGTTGTTGAGACAGAGTCTCGCTCTGTCACCAGGCTGGAGTGCAGTGGCACGATCTTGGCTCACTGCAACCTCAGCCTCCCGGGTTCAAGCAATCCCCTGCCTCAGCCTCCTGAGTAGCTGGGACTACAGGCACATGCCATCACACCCAGCTAATATTTTGTATTTTTGTAGAGATGGGGTTTCACCATGTTGGTCAGGATGATCTCGATCACCTGACCTTGTGATCCACCCGCCTCAGCCTCCCAAAGTGCTGGGATTACAGGCATGAGCTACCACGCCCAGCCTGACCCCAGATTCTTTAGAAGCAAATCTCAAACATCATTCACTTCTTCTGCAATGATTTCCCACATCAGCAAAAAATAAGGATCCTTTTAAAATCACAGTGCCAATAATACGCTTAAAATATTAATAATTTCTGAATGTCATCAAATGTCCAGTTCAGATTTTCCTATTATCTTAAATATGCATATGTGTGAGTGCTTTACTGTTTATCCAGACCCGTCGAATATCCTTGCCTCACAATTGCTTTTCCGTCTCTTACATCTTACCCGTGACGTTCTCCTCCTTATCCACTATCAGTTGACCCATAGAGTATCACATAGCCTGGAATGTTCTGACTGTATCCCCCTGGCATTGGTGACCGTGTTCTTTCATTCCATTTCCTGTGAACTGGTAGGCAGATCTAGAAGCTTGATTGGGTGCAAGTCTGACCTGTTGACAGTGAAACTCCTGCAGGAGGCATGTGACATCTGGCCAGCTGGGTTTCTTATTATTATTATTTTTATTATTTTCTGTTTTTTGAGACAGTCTCGCTCTGTCATCCCAGTTGGAGTGCAGAGGTGCCATCTTGGCTCACCTCCTGAATTCAAGCAATCCTCCTGCCTCAGCCTCCCAAATACCTGGGATTGCAGATGCCCACCACAACACCCAGCTAATTTTTATATTTTTAGTAGAGGTGGGGTTTCACCATGTTGGACAGGCTGGTCTTGAACTCCTGACCTCAAGTGATCCTCCCTCCTCGGCCTCCCAAAGTGCTGAGGTTACAGGTATGAGCCACCACGCCTGGCCATGGCAGTCTTTCCTCCGGGAAGTGAGCAGTCATTGATAGTCATGGCCCACGTGGTTCATTACTGTGTTAATGGCTGCAGAGAGGTGATGTTCTAACACCATTCTTTCCTCATTATGAGCTGGAGTATTGCAGTTCAGAGAAACCTCACTTCATCCACTCGAGTTTCTGTGTCTTGGCCTTCATTCCACTCTGTGGCTGAACACACCTGCCCTACAGACATACCCAGATGCCAGTGCATGGACATGGAACGTTTTCCAGCAACAACATCCACCGGGAACATTCTGCCAGCTCCCCACCCCCAGATGCCACTCTCATCTTCATTTTTCACAAATCTCCAAGTCGTGAAAATCTGTATCCTTATCCTTTCTGACTCCTGTCTTTTTCTTCTGCTCCAAGGCCATGAAACAATCACATCAAGGCCTCTCCTCTAAGAAGTCTGCCCTGATTAAATGTCTCAAGAGTGGCGACTTCTTTGCCGGGTTTTGGAGAGGCCCAGGGCAAGGCTGGAGGCCATTCCCAGGGAGGCTGGGAGGGTTTCAAGTTTGCCTTGGCACAGGGCAATGTTGCTGGGAGCTGACGCCCCCGCTTCTGCTCCCACATGGAGAGGGGCCTTTCCTGGAGGCCCCCATCAGCTGTGAGTCACCAGCTTCTAAGCCCCAAACCCCACAGAATAAAATGCAAATGGATTCTGGTGAATAGAGAACTCAAGCCACCTCTGTGTGGGAGAGGATGTTATAATATCAGGCTGTCGGCAAATTAATGTTATTAAACAAATGCACAAAAATAGCAGCCATAATTATTCCCATACAGTAGCTCAATCTGGAGCTTTCTGGGTGTTTTTGTTCCCCACTAAACACAGGGCTGTCTCCGCTCATGTGGTCCTTCCTTCTTCCTTCTCTCCAAGACACTGCAGAGGAAAGAGGCCCCAAGTGAGCTCCCAGAACCTTGTTGTTTCCTTGAGAAATGATAAACTCATGAGAGCTGAGATTTCTTCGGCACCTAAGCGCCAGGCCCTTTACATATGGAACTCGATTTACAACCTAATGAAGGAAATGCTGTTGTTCCATTGGACGGATTATCAAGCTGAGTCCAAGAGAGGTCATGGAATGCGCCTGACGGTCACTGGGCTTGAGGATATGAACGCCTGGGTTTGAGCAACCTGTGACCTTTGCCCTTTGCTCTTTAACTTGCTGCTTCAAACTTTCCTCTCCCCAACCTCTTCCTCTCTCTCTAGAGATGCTTCACCTCAAAGTGCCCTCCCGTGGCACCATGGCTTTTGAAGGCCGCTCTGTTCCAGGGAGCTCCATATCTCCCTGCTCAGGGTGGCCTGTGCCCAGGGCCAGGTTTGGGCCAGGGTCCCTCGAGGGAGAGCAGAACAGTGGGGATGGAAGACGGGCGAGGTGCCCGCAGAGGCCAGCTTCCTGGCAAGCTGGTGTGAGGACACAATGTCATGGGGGAGGTGAGAGGCCTGGGAAAGGGGAGACGCAAGCACAGATCTGAGCATCACTCCAGCCAGGCTGGCACGTGACTGCTGGAGCCTGTGTCCTACAGCATACGGGGCCTGTCCTGGCAGCAGCCTGCTTCTCGCTCTGACAGGCAGATCAGTCCCCCTGTCTGAGCCTCCATCTCCACATGATGCCTGCCTGTGTCAGGCTATAAACATCACACGTTATGCAAAGGATGCATGTGGCAGGTGCCCATTAGGGATATCACTGGGGATACTGCCATAAAGGGTCTTCCCAGAAGCCACACTCCGGGCTGGAGCGGGGTGTGGAGACAGCAGCCAAGCCCAGGCCTTGCCTCTTTGTCCTCAAGAAGCTGCCCAGTGAGCAGAGAAGCTGTGATGATGCCACCAGTGACTCCCGTGATCACCATGTGGTGGACGCTGTGAGCCCACCTGGATGTCTCTACTGTCATGGCTGTGGCACTCTGGCTGCTGGGAGGCCTGTCCTTAGGTGACCCTCAGTCATCAACCCCTATCCCAGGAGCTGCCTCCGCTGCAGAGCACCACCGCGCCCTTGGTCATGCCCTGCCCTGCACGGCCCACCTCCAGGGACCAGTGGGCTGGAAACATAAAGGCCTGGTGATCTCAGGTGACTCAAGGTAACTCTGAAGGGTTGGTCTGCCTCCAGCAGCCTTGGAGTGGGGCCTGCTCTGAGGCCAGGCTCCTCCCCCTGCCCATCGCCCCTCCCACCCTTCCTTTCCCAAGTGCCTGGCTCCAGGACAGCCCCAATCCCCTCCCAGCTGTTTGTCCTTGCCTGCTTTCTGGAGAATCCAACCTGCAACATATTATCAGTATGATTACATAAGTGCTGATGACGTCAACCAGGGTTGCCTGCAGGCGAGCCTGAGTTGAGGAATTGCGGGCAGCTGCAGGAACCTACCATAGGGAACATCTCTAGTTTTTGCCGACCTGAGGAGCCTTCTCCCCTTCTCCTGGCCAAGGAGCGAGCAAAGGAACCAGGCTGGGTTATAGTTCCATAGCCCGACTCTGCCGATGAGGGCTAAGGTTGGGCAGCTCATGCAGTGCCAGCACCAGATCAGGGCTTTGGTGAACTTGACGACATCTAAACACATAAATCACTGGTCCCCATCTCACAGGATTAAAGAGGTCACTTGTCCAAGATTACACAGCTAATGAGTGTTGGGACTGGGATTCAGTGTTTTTCACACAGGTCTCTGCGGGGCCCTGGGATATTCATGGGGTCCCTGAAGAGAGGAGGGTGAGGAGGTGGTGAAGAGGAGGCCCAGGAGGGGAGGCCGAGGAGGGGAGGCCGAGGAGGTGGTGCTCCCCAGCCTTTAATGGAGGCAACTCAACCTGCACGGATATCACGGATGCCACCCTGTGCCAGCATCTCAGGAAGGCTGTGCTTGATGTCCCCAATGTCATGTTGACTTTTCCGTGCAGAAGCGGTTCTGGAATCAGACAGCTCCAAGCAGCTGACCTTTCCTGCATGCAATGTTGTCTGCCTCATGTCACATCAATCTACTGATTTTGATTTTGCTCTGCCCTTAGAAAACACACCAAATAGACCCTGATTTTCAGCTTAG